ATCCCCATCCGCGGTCGTTATCGCCCTAAAAATACGAGCGAACCACCGCGCGTTCCACGCCGACCGGACGTCGATTTACCCTCAACCGCGGCCTCGACTCGCCTCTCTTCCCTCGAGCGCGCTCCATCGACAATATCCCGTCGATCCGGTGATAGTCGTCGACTGGTAAAGTTTCTGAAGCTCGACGAGAATCGTTAACCATTCGGCCCTTGTCGCAATCGATATACATGTAAACGTTACTTGTCGTACTCTGCCGAGAAAATCGAGAGTCCATCACGCGTTTCAGACGTTCATTTTTGAATATAGCGTGAAATCATAAACGAAAGTCAATTGCAATTGCAATTCGAGTTGTATTATTGAATTTTTGTATTTCAATTGTACATATATATATATGTGTGTGTATGTATGTACAGTTGAAATACAAAAATTCAATAATACAACTTCAATAATGTACAATATATATATAATATAAATTATATATAATATAATATAAATATTATTGAATGACTTACATACATACACACACACATACATATATATATGTACAATTTAAATACAAAAATTATATATAATATACATATATATATTTATATTTATTTATATAGGTGATGCTTGACTTCTGTGCATTCTGCTTTCGTGCAATTCGCTACTTCGTACATATATTTAACCCCTAGCGCTTGTTCGCGGACCATAACGAGTGACCAAACGAGTGTACAATATTCGTCGCTCTCTTTTGACGCTCGCCGGAATGATATCACTGGATAAAAATTAGTGGGAAGTAATAAATTTGTTATTTGCTTTGCCTGGGTTTTATTTAAATATACTTGAAACTGGGGAAATGTTGCAACTTTCGGACAGAAAATTCTCAACGTATCCGGCACGTCATTCCAGCGCAAGAGATTAAAAGTTAGATTTTTATCGATTTGTATCGCGAGAAAAAGCGCTTACGTCCGTGCAATGAATGAAGCATACATCTTTTGATCATGATTTTTGACCATCATGGAAGAATGATCCTAATGCAGAGTCTATATCTTTCGTACAAAGGGCAACAGAAAAGGACACAGCGTGTTACAGAACTCTTTATCGAGAAAAGAAGAAGGAGAATACAATTCAACTATCTTGAATAAATTTGTAAAGGAAACACTAGATGCTAATATAAATAAAGTATTATTTATTTATATCTTAATACACTTCGTCAAAAAAATAAATATTTTATAAACGCTTTTTGACTTTTTTTTTACATTGCTCTACTTTCGTACATTTCAGGGACCAATTAGGTACGAAAGTCGAGCCTGTATATAATACAATAAATAATGTTTGTTCATAAGCAACGTTATAGCTTTTATTATCCTCCATCATTGTTAATATTAATTATTAGTTAATTTGTGATAATAATAATCAGACGAACATAATTTTCTATGAGACTGTAACAACTTTCTAGATTCTAGCTTGAAAAAATATTAAATGCCAAATTTCGTTGTTTTCGCTATCCACTTTTCGAGGGTTAATTAAAATCTTCGACTTTACTTTTACGTCGAGTTCTGTCTAAATTACGTCTGAATCCGCTTTCTTTCTCTGTTAACAAGCACGCGGCTTAAATTCAACGTCTTCTCGAAACGTGTGAAAGAAACGCGAGATCGAGACCGAGCAAAGAGTCAGAGAACTAGCAGCAGAGTGATTCGAAGCTGCGTTGACAGGTGAAAAATCAAGGTGAAGTATCGTGCGAGGAAAATTCGCGTTACGCCTCGCGACACGAGCGATTGTTCTCGAGGTGCGTCGTACGCAAAGCGGTTATACCTACGTACGTACATGCACTTGGGATGAATTCAAGCGGCAGTAGGCTGCGTGCACGCAAGCAAACTGAAATTGATGATCCGCACTTAGCAGAGACACTGGCCCGAGAAAACCTTCGCGTGACGCCGAGCCGAGGAATTATTATATACCTGGCGAATTGTTTTTCTTCGATTTATAGGCGCGCGGATGTTTGCGTTCAGCGAACCGCCTTCTCGCTGCCGGAACGTTCCTCCACTTCTTCGTCTTCTGTCTCCGCTCTGTGCTTCGAATCGAATCGTTTTACCTCGTCGTTTCGATCAACCGACGCCTCGCGCGCCAACAGGAACAATCCAGCTATAAACGGTACCTGCAAGTACGTTTCGAGCGAACAACAAGTTGCAGAACGAAAACTGCGCCACGGGACAGGAAACGCTCGCCGAACACGCGAACGTTCCGCGTTTTTCCAACCGCGTCCGCCCCGATTTTCCCATGAAACCGTGACACCACCACGCTTCGATCGAGCCAATTGCCCGGGAAAAGGGAGGGGGAAAAAAAATGAAGAGCATCTGAAACCGGGTCGACGCACTTGCTGGTCTACGAGTCTGATATTTGCGATCTGACGGAAGCAACGGGATTTTGCTACTGACAATGAGACTCTCTCTCTCTCTCTCTCTCTCTCTCACTCGATCTGGCGGAAGTTCAGAATCGTGGATAATCGTAAGAAGTAGATCTGTAAAATCTTCACGGACACACACACACACACACACACACACACACACATACGTTGAAACACGCGACGATTTTTATGTTTCACCATGCACGTTTGCAACATGTGTATGCAGCTCGGTGAATCGGTCAAATTGACTCTGATGCAGGTCTTAGGAAACCTGGAAATCGATGTGCGTTGACGGGGGTCTCGACACATTGTTGACCGATCACAAGTTTTCAACTCGTGTTTGCACTTGCATTAGCTATTTTAATTATTGACACTCGAGGTCACCTGTCTTCGTCGTGTTCAACCGTGTTCACTTTGTTATAAAAAAAAAAAATTACTTTCATTGATATTTAGGTTCGCGACGGATCGTGACGGCGAAGAAGTTTTCAACGAACTATATGCAGACGTTCTGTCCGAGTGATTTTGAAATATACTGTAGCGATGTGAAAATTGACAGTTTATCACAGCGAAACCAGATATATTTGCAAAACCTGTTGTGTATACGTAGCTGATTGCTATACAGTTTGTCAAATCCAAAAAAAAAAAAAAAAATTGCTAAAATATGTTGCATAAAATATGTATAATAAATATAATAAAATACGTTGCATGAAATATGTATAAAATGTAACACACACATAAAAGATATACATTTTATTTAAATTCATTCTGTGTAAAAAAAAAAAAATATATCAAAGTTTCACTTTCATACTCAATTACGAAATAATAGCCCGTGACGTGATAGCTTCTGCTTCCGGTTATCTTGACAATGCATTAAGAAGTGTAAGGTTTTTGTTCACGAACACGTTCCTGTTTCCCCGCCGCACGAATCAAAAATCGTCGCTGCTCTGGCGAAACATCTGGTGAAACGTTCGGAGACGATCCATTCCTTCCGGATGGAACTCGCGTTGGAAAAACGCGGAACGGGGACAAAAGAGGAGGTAGGAGGACGACGGAAAGTATCGAGGCAAGATAATCGTTGGAATCAGCGATTCCGGAGCGTAGTCGGCATCCGACATCGGCATCCGATTCGGGAATTGATCGATCCGGTCCGCGAAAGGGACAAAAGGGTTTCTCGAGGAGAGAGCGGAAGGTTGGAAGGTGAAAGACGGAAAACGGAAGAAGGGCGCCCGGAGAGTTCTCTCTCTCTCTCTCTCTCTCTCTCTCTCTCTCTCTCTCTCTCTCTCTCTCGGCGTGGGCGACGACGAACGTTAGGTCGAACAGATCGGTGGGCGTCCACCGGTTCGCCCAATTGGTCGATCGAGCCGGTAATGGTCGGTGGGCGTCGAGTAAGCTCAGATGCGCGGCATAGAGTGCGCACTTGGCTGCCTTTAGCCGGCGACTTGTTCCATGAATCCTCGCGCACGGCTCTCCCTTCGACTCGCTGCCGCTTCCACTAAGCCGCACACAACACTGTCCACCTCTCCCTCTATCTATCATTCTCTCCCTCCCTCCCTCTCCCTCCCTCGCGCTCACTCTCTCTCTCTCTATGTGCTTTGCTCCTCTTCGTCGTCGTTCGACGATCCGATCTCTGCGTGTGTGAGCGCGAGATCGTAATCGTGCAAGTCCTCTGTGCTTTATTACTGTTGTTGTTGTTGTTGTTGTTGTTGCTGCTGCTGACGATGACGATGACGCTTCGTCTCTCATCCTCGTTCGTCTTCGTCAGCGCTGGCGCTGCCGCTCGCCGCTACGCCGTGCCACGCCGCGCCGCGGCGCCTTAAATCTTGATCTCACCTCGACTCAACAGCCGGGAGGGTGGGGGTAAGGCTAGTCTGGGCGCGCTTCGAGCCACCGAACGCGAACGGAAGGCAATCTGCTCGAATCCGGCGGACCGCGAGCAGGTTACCCCGTGTACTCGTGTTACATCGTTCTCCTTCTTCTTCTTCTTCTTCTTCTTCTTCTTCTTCCTCTTCTTCTTTTTCGTCTCGTATCTTTTCGCGATAGATTCTTGCGCCGAGTTACCGAGTCGGAGGTTGTCGAACAGAAGGGGTTGGAACGTGGGTCGAGTGCGCGGTGAACGTTGGAAGGAGACGCGTTCGAGACTCGTGATCCACGGCAACGTAAACCGACAGACACAGACACGTGATTTGTGGCGAGAAGAGAAAAATTCCAACTGAGTCTATCTGAGGAAGGTCGAAAGACGAAAAGGACGTAAAGTGAGCGAGGAAGGCCGGGCAACTAGGAAGACTGTGGGTTACCTGAAATCTGAATGTCAGCTGGATGCGAGTAGCCAGCGCTGGTGCGGTGCCGCGAGGCGCGACAAGGTGGGGGTGAAGTTAGTCGTTGGCGCGCTTCGAAAGCCCGAACGGAAGGCAATCTGCTCGAATCCGGCGTAGCGCGAGCAGGTTATCCCGTGGTAGCGCGTATACCTCGCGTCGGCACATCATTGGAGGGAGGGAGGAAGGAGAGAAAGAGAGAGAGAGAGAGAGAGACGGAAGCCAAGAGAAAGAAGAGCGAGAATCAGAGCGAAAGACCGAGCGAGTAAGCGAGAGGGAGAGAGAGAGAAAGAGGGAAGAAAGGACGAGGAAAAGAGCGAGCAAAGAGAAGAGAAGAGAAGAGAGGAGAGGAGAGAAGAGGCGGAGGGTGGGAAGGTAGAGAAGGGCATACACGTCTATAGGTAGTCACGAGCTTCGACGAAGCGCCTGCGCCCGCGAGCACTCCTCGTCGTTACCTCCTCGCATCGACTACGCTCGTCCGCGTAGACGCGACAGCCGACGTGAAAGCTCGCGCCGCGATGAATCGCGTTCGCCGACGGACCGTCAGGCAGGATGTCATTCTGCTTGGTTAATCGGACGCAGGAAGCTACGCCGGAGCCTGGCGTCGATTGCGCTCGCGCGCTTCTGCGCCAGCGCGATACACGCACCGACCGTCGCATCTTGTGACACCGAGTGAGTGACTGACAAGTCAAGTGCGCGCACGAGGACCCAGTGCCCGACCACCGATCGACCTCGTTTCTTCTTCCTCAGACGTCCTCCCGTTCGGAACTCTGCGGTCCTCCGTTTTCTTTTCTTTTCTTTTTTTCTTTCCACCCTCGTCGCCTTTCCATCGTCGCGAGACAATACTACGTGCCTTCCGGCGAGACTCGAAACAATCGACCAACTTTCGTCGTCCGCCAAACAACGAACAAACCAACGCAAACCAACCTCGCGGAAGAGGAGTCAGAGGGCAGCCGCGCGAGAGAAAAGAAGAGAAGAGAAGAGAAGAGAAGAGAAGAGAAGAGAAGAGGAGAGGAAAGGAGAGAGGAGAGGAACATTTGCGTGAAAACACGGCGTGGATCCGTCGGACACACACTCGGCCGAAAGCAGGAAGAGAGACGAGTCGTAGCGTAGGGGACGGTGTGGCTACAGAAGTGGAGGCAGAGGGGGAGGAAGAGGAGGAGGAGCTGGTGCCCGGTGTGGAGGGGGTGGAGGTGATCGTCTGGTGATGATGATCGGTGGCGGCGTCGCGACCCCTCCTGGTACTGCCAAGTCGGCGGCTGCGATCGACAGCGAAATGGTGCAGGTCGACGGCATTGGCAGTGGTAGTGTCAGTGGCAGTGCTAGTGGTAGTGGTAGTCCAGCGACAGGCGCGACTACTACGCGTATAACCAACAGCAACAACCTTGCCAGCAGCAACAACAACAATAATAATAACAACAATAACAACAACAATGGAGACGTTGCAAACAACAACCACAACAACAACAACAACAACAACAACAACAACAACAACAATAATAATAATAATAATAACGAGGGACACGCGGTGGTAAATTGCGCCAGCGGACCCGCAACGGCCACCGACAAGTTTTGCTGCCACGACGACGACGCGCCCGTCAGCACCGGCGTTGCGCGCCCTTGGGAACCACCCTCGCCGACCTTCTCGCAGACGAGGTCGCATCTGTTTCAGGTCCATCCGCCGCATCACCATCATCAGCATCCAGCTGCGCATCACCATCAACAGATGACCGTGCCTCCGGTGTCTCTGATCGACGGTCAGTTTGCCTTCTTTCTCCCTTTCTCTGTCTCTTTGACCTTTGCCCTCCGTGCTTTCACGCTTTCGTCGCGCTTTTCCCTTGCTTCCGTTTTACGAGATTACTTCGAATCGCAACAAGAACTCTGCATAGAGTCGAAACAACGCGCGCTCTAATGAAATCACACGATTCCCCGGAGTTGACGCGAAGATAAAAATTCGCGCGGAACGAGGACGATAAAGAGGGCGATCAACCTTGCGTAACCGATCGCGTTGCCCGATTTCGGGCATCCTTTCTCGCATTGAACACTTGAATACACGGCGATAATCGAGACTCTAACACGCTCGGTAATCGATGAAACGTCGCCGTTACGCCTCGGTTCGTCTCGCTCCGAAAATTTCCATGAAACGCAAACAAACCGAGACGCTCTGCCTTCGGCCAGCGGCAGCGGCCAGTTCTCTCTCTCTCTCTCTCTGAGCCGGACAAAACCGCGACAATTAAATTTAATTGGACGAAACGTTTCGCGTTTACAATCGGAAATCGCTAAACGCGCGTTGGCGCTTTTTGCTCGCCCGTCTTCTCCTCCGGCCGGTTTGTGTCTTCCGCATTGTGAACATCGCCGCGCCGCCTTTTTTGGCCACGCCATTCGCAAAAACCGGAGGAACCGATCGCGCACGTCGTCCACTGCTCTCTCATCCTCTGTTCGTTGCACGTTGCATCGTTCGAGATGCGTTACGAGTCATTTTCCGGTGGACGATGCGTCGTTGGCAGGGGAAAAGAACAAAAAAAAAAAAGAAAAAGAAAAGAGAAAGAGAGGGGTCAGTCTAAATCGAGGCGTTAAACGAGCGTAACAACGTCGTTTCGTGGTCGCTCCAGGTGTCGAAATCGGGTAGGCCGAGCACGGTAGGTAGGCCGACGATTCTCAAGGGATGATACGATCTTCCCTCTGTCGACGATCGTACGTATCTCGCTGCGAGATCGCTCGAGACCCTCTCGACGTATCTCGTACGAGGCGTTTAAACGCACGAAAAATCACGTGTCGTGAATTGGCGGCAATTTTCGTGATTTGAACGGTTCCGCCATTGCCCGTCACGCTGTGCGTCGATGAAATACCAACCATTACCAGGGCAATTTACAAAGTCGAACTCGTTGAGAAAGAGTCGCCAGATGAAATCGCGGGATGTTTCTTCTTCGTGGATAAACGTCGCGAGAGAGTACGCATGAAAGGCATTCATCGACGCGACAGGAAACGAAATCATCCAGAGAGCTGACCCAACTACTCGACCCAAGTAACGCGTGTAGACCGAAGGAACGGAGGAGTTAACAAGAGTAGCTAGCATTTACGCGGAATACGAATTCAGCGTGCCACAACGTTTCACGCGATACGCGGCGATACCACATACGATGTTTATCGTACGACGTATTATCGTTCCCAGCCGACGAATGCTAATTGACCGATCGGAGGTAGAGAACTGGTCGAAACGTTCGCGAACGCCTACGTTTGTCGCGTTGAGTCGCGGCCGCGGAATCGCGTTCCCGGTCACTCGTAAAAACGGAGAACGCTCGTGCTTCTCGAACGCTTCACACGTACGACGCGTGATAGAAGCGCAAGGTGGTGGCGTTTGCAATCAGCCGGCAAACAACGAGGATCGAGAGTAGGTGTCCGAGTGGCGAGCAACGACTACCGGTGTATTCCGGAGGATCCTTTCCGTGGTTTACACTTGCCAGATGGAACGACGGCCAGCTACCAGCCATACTCGTTCAGAACCGGTTCCAATACTGTTGGCAACAGTACGTCTTTTAGCGAGGAGGAGCTGTTGCTGCCGCGCTCTCGTTGAACTTTCAATATCCGTCCGTTGTGATCGTGTACACGGGCCGTCGTCGACTCGGTGTATGCGCTCCGGATATTTGCCAGAACTCTCTCTCTCTCTCTCTCTCTCTCTCTCTCTCTCTCTCTCTCTCCGGTGCTATCCGGCAGATTTAACTGCCACACCCAGCAGGTATTTCAGAGCGAGAGGACGCCGGGAGCAGGTATACGCGCGTATGCGACGTGGCGTCGCGGGTCCCCCGGTAGTTGGCAGGTATCTTCATCTGTCCGGGTGTCGGCCACTTTGTTTTCACCACGTTCGTGGGTTGCTCGCGCTCGGCTCGGTCACTCTACTCTCTGCTCGTTGCTGTCCTGTCCTTTATTGTAGCGTAACGAACGACGTCTCGCCGAACGATGGCCGAACAGTTTTGTGGTTCGAGCTGTCGGTCGAGCGTCGGACGCTAATTAGAATCTTCTAGCAGCTAGGCTAGACTAGCCGATGCTTCTTCAGCCCCTGTTCACCGCGGAGGCGGACGCGTGGATGTGGATATACGAGCGTGTAAATATCGCGCGACACCGCCGCGAATAACGTTTAGGCTAATTAAATCGGGGACAATATTTAATCGGAGTATGCGCAGCTAATTGGATTTCGTGTCGGTTGGTCGTCGGTCCCCCCTCCATCCCCTCCCTACGAGGCACCCGGCACCGCCACACGATTTATTCTCCGTTACTCGTGGATAACCTAAGTATCTCGTTCCTATCCGGCTGAATTTATGGCCACACCCTGCCAGTTTCGAGACAGGTACCGGCCGTCAGGTTTCGTCCCTTTCTGCCTTCAAGCTTTCTGCTGCTTTCGTCGTGGATTTTCGTCGACACGGAGTAGCTCCTCCCTCCGACTCTCGACGAAATCTCGCGATACCTCTCGAAAATCGATCGAGCCAGCCGAGATACAATCGGCACGTCGATTACGCGCGAAACGAGCCATCATCCGCTTATGGGTCGTGTTATCGTCGCGACAATCTCGACCGTACGATCACAGCCGATTGGAGTCGAGCGAATTTTCATTCATCGATCCCGCACCCTCCCGTCAACAGCCAGAAAGAATCGGGCGCTCGCCGATTTTTTACAACGATTATCTATCACCTCGCGGCCAACGATCGGTCTTTTCCCGGCCGGGGCAATTTCGTGTAACGCGAAAGAATACAGAGGACACGGCGGAGAGAACTCGATTCAGAAAACCGGTTCCTAGCCTCGCGTCGATGCAACGACACGACGCATTTCTTTCCGTGGCCATCTACTCGGGCTACTTTCGTTTTCACGGCATCCCTGATAGCTTTGACACGAAACGAGCGCGCGGAATGCGCGTCCGTGCGACTCCCCGAGAAAGGAAGAGAGAAGGGCAGCAGAGGCGTGCGTAGGCTTCGCGCCAAACTCGCCGAAACGATCGCCGGCCGACGATGCGTCGTCTCTCGCCGTCCGTAAACTGCCTCGTTCTCGCCTTCTCCGCCTCTCTTCACACCGTCAAATTACCTCGCGCTCGAGGTATTCTCCCGAAACAGAACCGTCCCGAAACCCACCCCTCCCACCTTTCCGATTCGACTTCCGATCGAGTTTCTCAGCAAGTTAAATCCGCCCGTCACTGAAAAAGTCTCCTCCCGTGCGAGCACTTTTAAAAAAAAAAAAAAAAAAAACCGAGCCACAGCTCGCTCGACACCTTTACACGCGTCGTTCGATACCTAATATATATTCGATGCCGGTGTATTTTTATCGCGCGAGTATCCCCGCGCAAGTACGACGCGCCGTTTATTAACAACCACGCGGGCGCTGTTAACTCAGGAGGATACTCGCGAAGACAGACGCGATTCGATCGGTTAGATTGGACAACGTCGCGATAAGCGGAACGAAGAGATCGGTTACCAGTTACCAACGATGGTTAGTTTGGCGAGCGTGTCGACGGAGTGAGAAGAACCATCTCGGGATCGGCGCTAAAAACGCTAATTAATTAACCGTGTATAAACGTGTATAAACGTGCGAGCGCTCGCGTTCCAAGCGGCTCGTAACCGCGCGAAATAACGCGTTACAAATGATCTCGGGGACCAGGGCCGTTCTCCATCCGTGCGACAGCGGGTTATAATTTCTCGTTTGACGATCGTCCTCATCGTCCGGTCGATCTCCTGTGCGAGCCAACAACGCTATTGCCAGGCTTTCCTCCTTCAGCTTCTTCTTCCCGGTGTACGCACAGGAAACGGTTCTTTAATATCGTCGTTCGATCGTAAACTATCGTATGGTCGACGCGGTTCGTAGTACGATCCGCCCGTCGATGCCGTGATTTCTCTTCGGAATTAATTCCGAGGAGAGGGAAGAGAGTGATTATTTCTCAGAATTACCAAAATTCGCGCAAGAGCCGTCGTGGCAAAAAGAAAAAAAAAAAAAACCAATCGTTTCGTAAAAACGCGATCGACACCCATTTCTCCACTCCTTGCTCTCTGCTCCTCTCTTCTCCCATCCCTCTTTTCTCTCCTCCTGCTCTCCCTGTGTCCTGCCCTATCCTGCAAGTACTCAACCCCATCGTAGCCTCGTCGTCAACCTCAACCGCAACCTCTAGATACGATCGGCGTCGGAGGCTTAAAGTGAGGCTCGCCCCGGCGAAAAATGGATCGCTCTCAATACCGTGGGGCCCGTTCGATCGTAAATCGTCGCCTGTTTCGCCGGGGCGAGAGCGTGCGAGAGTGGCACGAAACGGAACGTCGCCGAGATTAGCCGGCTATAAAATCACCGAGGAAGTCGCGAACCACCGGTCCGGCCGTGTCCTTCGAGGAATTACGAGGGTATTCGCACCTCCGGTTGATTAATCGGCGCGATTTCAACCGGCAGATGCTTCTCGCTCTGGCCTCTCTCTCTCTCTCTCTCTCTCTCTCTACCTCTCTCTCTCTTTCTATCTATCTATCTATCTAGCTATCTCTCGACCCCTCTCGGTTCCTTGAACGAGAAGAAGAAGAAGATCGCGCCGATAAGATCGCGTCGAGTAATTTAAATTAATTCGCTCGATTACACTGGCACGTCCTCTCACGATCCTCGTTCCACGCGCTCGTTACACCTTTATTGTTAATGAAATCGCATTTATCATCGGCCTCTGCCCGTCTCCCGTCTCGAGTCGAATGGCCCGATCGATCGTAATACGATCCGAGCGGCCGCTTTCGACGCTGAGGGACGTCTCTTCGATTGCCAATGCTTCACGGAAAGTATCCGCGAAACTTTGACTCGCACGAAACACGCTGGACAGCTTCCCGTAGCTTCTTGTCGCGAATCGAATTAACCCCCTGCGCTGGCAACTGGTTCGCGGACCATAACGAGTGACCGAACCGTATGCAATAATTCGTCGCTTTTTTTTTTCTTCTTTTGAACTCGTCGGTATGATATCACTGGATAGAAATTATTGAGAAGTGGTAAATTTATTATTTGTTTTCCCTGGATTATACTTAAAACTGAGAGAATATTTTTGGGACGTGTGTGGCACGTCATTCCAGCGCAAGAAGTTAAGAACATTCTATTATGCATGCTTAACCTAACTTAAATTATTTTAAAACCTATTACTTGCTTAAAAATTACTACTGCATTATTATTTTGTATACTGTTTATACAATAATAAAAGCAATATTTAGCTACTATTCTTTTCTTAAAGTTTTTCAATTTTTGATATATTTTCATTTAGTAGGTACTAAATTTGCTTCGTCGGTCATCAGTGACTGACACGGCACTTAACGCGTGAACAGTACCTTGAAAGTAAATTTTAAAAGCGCCTTTTGGTGCCAACACTAATCAAAGAAATAACCTATTAACCAGAATAGGCGATTGATTAACCCCTTGCGCTGGCAACTGATTGCGGACCATAACGAGTGACACAATAATTCGTCGCTTCCGTTTTCTTTTGAGCTCGTCGGTATGATATCACTGGATAGAAATTACTAAGAAGTAATAAACTTGTCAATTGTTTTGCCTGGGTTACATTTAAATATACTTAAAACCGAGAAAATGTTGCAATTTTGGAACAAAAAATTCTCGACGTGCGTGGCACGTCATTCCAGCGCAAGTGGTTAAGCAAGCAAAAGGTTGTGCCCTTCTGACGAGATTGACGATCGGTTACGTCGCTGCCTTTTGCGCAGGTGTGAGCTTGCAGAACTGCACCGCAGGACCGTTCGCCAGCGGCAATGGCGGTGGTAGCAGCCGTCAACGATTGCTCGAACTGTCGCACGGACTGGGAGCTCTGAGGCACTACAACGACCTGGCGAATCACGTGCTGTCGTTGAACCAACAAGGGGCGGTTGTCACCAAACTCTTGGGTAAGTTTCTCGGTTTCACCATAAATCACCTGTCTACCGACCAGCGGAATACAAATTAAATATCCGGATAAGACACTCTGTCGATACTTTGCGCATCGCACGATTGATCGCTACCTATCGATCGCTCTGTTTGTCTGTAAAAAATTGCGAAATCGTCGTACGCGAGTGCAGCTCGCCCTTCTCTCGTTCTGAGACCTGCCTTCTGGTCAGACGGAGGAGTTTAATGGAGCAGTTTGCGTCTTACGAAATTCCACAAATCACAAGCCTGGCGCAAACAACGACGTTCCTCGTGGAATCCCGCGCGGGTATCATCGCGAGATAACACGCTGTGGCGTGTACGAGCGGTTACACGTACGTACGCGTTTACCGACGCGTGACGCGGCCCATCGTGAGATCCTCGCTTCCTTCTCGGACAGGCTATGCTGGTAAAATTCGCTGGTAAGCGACGACACGCGCTGAAAATCCGCGCCGGGCGTGGCGTTCACTCAGCCGAGCGAGACACAGCGAGTCTACGATTGTAAAACTCGCGCGAAATCAGTTGTCTGGCCGCGCGTGCTCGAAGCAAGCGGACAGTAAGGTGTTTGACCCGACAAAGCTGTGGAAAGAGTCAACAATTTCGAAACTTCGTAAGCGTAAGCCAGAAAGTTTTTCTCTGGAAAATTTGTCTCGGAGGAATGTCTCATACAATCACGAATCGTTCGACTTGATCGAAAGTCGAGAGACATTGTCCTTGCGATGTTTCCCTTTACACAACAAAATCGTCGATAAAGAAAATTTATTAGTGAATCGTATATTTTTCAAGATGATTGCTTTGCATTCTTTCGATAAGAGGATTCACATCCTTCGAAAAATTTCTTACATTATGGACATTTTTTCGGTCCTGCACTGCACTTTATCGCGCTTATTTATATCGTTATCAATACTTGTAGACAATCAGTGATTCAATAATTCTATTACATTTCGATTGATTAGAATCCAACGAAATTCGGTTCCGAATTTGTCCGGATTTTAGAACTAATTTAATATTTGAATATAATTTTTATAATTTGGATGAAAATTGAATAACGATAATAGAAAAACATGTAATTTGTCATTTAAAAACAATTCTATACATTTTGCTACGTTAAAATAATAATTTAAGTCGTTTCAACGCAACTTATAAAAACAAGAAAAATCATATTTTTCCAGTGCAATTCACGAGCCATAGTAATTTTTTGAAAGTTTACGATTGTCAGAGGAAAAAATGTTTCCAGCAAAGGCTAATCGGTGTTATATAAAATTTCAAAAGAAGAAAATTTCTTTTCCATTAGAGTTCAGTTCAATTTTTGACCTCGTAATGTACGTATGTATACAATCTTGAGCACGTGAATAACGTTGAAATAAATTTCTTTCCGGCTTTGCGGGTCAAATTAGCCCACTCTGCGACGGCTATTCAGATCAACGCCAAAGAATCGTTGAAACCAATCGGCAATCGTCTTATTTATCGTATCATTTTCCCAAACGTCGCCCTATTATTCCCATTATTATTCGACGAATCTCGTGATTTCAATTACCGATTTCAATTACCGATCTGTTGCAACGCGGAAACGATCTCTGCAACTGCAACTGAAGATCTCTCAGCGAAAATCTTTACGAATGTCCGTCGATGAAAGAGATCAACAACCAAGTTGCAAGTACAATAATCGTCGCTTCCGGCGAGGAGTTGGTAGCTTTGGAGTTGGAAAGTAGTTTTGTTTGATCAACGCGATCACACGAATGGCTATAGCAGGCATGTTACGATATATCCAGATGATGAAATGAAAACTGAACGAAGAAAGTCACCGATTTGATTTAACCATAGTCGTCGAGCTGTACGTACGGTAGACGTCGCTTCTTTTTTCGATTTCCTTCGTCGTTGGCCGAGTCGACGATCGGTCATCAAATTTTGGAACTTTCAAAGTAAAAGTTACAAATATCGGGTGGTTCACCACATAATGCCATCTAGATTTACGTCATTATTATTACGCGTAGCGAAAAATGTTTCAGATGAAGTTGAATGGTTTCGGGAGGAACACATTTTGATGATGACTAGTTTTCTCGTAGGTGGACGTGTAGAGGACACATGAAGATCATTAACGATTTTCTAAATGGAATCATATGTTTCTTATTGCGTCAGTTGATGCATCTTGACATTCTTTGCAAAAAAGGTATTAACCCATTTGTGTTAAAAAATCATTAGTTTAGGAGATGTTTTAATTTTAATTTTGTAAAATTATCGTATGAAAGATACGGAAGAGGAAGGATAGTATTCTTATATTTATACTGTTTTTGTCTTTCACGCATAGATTTTACAAAATTAAAATTGAAATATCTCCTAAACTAGTGATTTTTTTAACATAAATAGGTTAATACTTTTTTGTAAATATCAAGGTGCATAAATTTGACGTAATCTAGATGGCAACATGTGACCCACCATCCTGTATATCGAGATTCGAGCAAACTAATAGCAAGGAATCGAATCGGAATTAATTGTTTCCCACGGGTGGATAAATAAACAAGATATTTTTGTTCTCGAATTCTAGGTAAGTACTAGAGAGAACCTAAGTCAAACCTAACCTAGATGGATTTAGGTTGATGCTAATGTAAGCGTCGGGCCACTGAAAGTGTTTGTCGAAAAAGAACAATTTAACGATTATTGGAATTAAATGGAGATATACTTGTTTGTCGAGTCGATGTATTTTTGACAATATTCGTCGCTACTTCCGAAGCAGTGATAAATACTAAATGTAAAAGAACTTTTTAATCGTTCTGCCAACTGAAAGTGATACAACTAGATCGTTATAGTGTGATCAAACGATAAAACAATTTGCTTTTATATTACAACTACGCGCACGCAGTTACCTATATAAAATTTCGCAGTAAAAATTTATAAATACAGTTAATCAACAGTTTAGGTTAAACTGTCGGCCTCGGGCCCAGCACAAAAAAAAAAAAAAAAGAATCAATTTCCAGACGCTGGAATCCGGTCTTTACGATTTCTGACAGGTCTCGAATTAACTGCAATTGAATCGCAATGAATTCGACAACCTTGACGCTCCGATTCTATCGAATCGACAGAAAGATACAAGCGATAAGCGTGTTCGAAGCTTGAACAAAACATTCAGCTATGGATTTCTAAGACGCCTGTTCGACATATACCGCCGTGTTGATTCGCCTAACGTTAATCTCGACAAGCTGTCGACGAGTGCAGCGTAAAGTACCGCTTTGCGGCTAGATTTTTTTTTTTTTTTACCGAAGGATGTTGCAAACAAATTCGAGTCGGGTTGACGTTGATCGCCGCTCGTTCGCGGACGAGGCGATAAAACAGCGTAAGCCAAATTGATCGGCATCTCGGGCATTTTCCAACAACTCTGCAGCACACACTGTATGTACACTTGGGGGAGAAAATAAAGAGGAGCGGAGAGACGTATTCTCCCTGCGTCAGAGTAACGAGCGTTACGAAGAAGCAACGGTTTTTTGAGCTCGTTAGCCGACCGAGATTAACTCGTAACAGCTGTTTCTTTTGCCTGAAAGACGCTCGCATGATGCTCGACCACCCTTGAATAATTTGTCAATAATTGCCCTGATCCTCGCCCCGTGCTCCTGTTCGAGGAATCCACAATTCAGGAATTTCGGCGATTTCCTCTGTTTCGACACTTTGTTCGGTATAAAAAGTTACATTTACTGCACGAAAGAAAATTGTAAAATTTCGAGAAAGAATCGTTCAACGAGAAAGAACTGCCCTGTAGAGAAGTAGTCTGTCTAGATCTCTCTGATGGAATTTCCAAGGTGACGTGTCGAACTTTCGGTAGACGAAAATCGGTGATTCAAAGTGGAGCAACGGTGGCAACGACCATCGTGGCCACGTTCGCTCGAAGCACGCAGGAAGAGGAACGCGCAGAACGCGTTGCCGATGGGGGCAATAAAGAAATGGAGGCGAGCCACCGAGCATGAGAGGTGAAACGCCGGTTTCTCTCCTTCTCTCGGCCCTCGACACAGCTACCTCGGTCCTCGTTAACTTTACGAGCCGCTCGTAAAAATACCGTTCGGCCAGCTCTCTCGGCTCGCCGGTAATGTCTTCATCTCCATTGGATACGGACTCCTTTAGCCTCTCGAGGTGAATATAATGTACCATAATCGACCGGCCAATTACTTAACAGCGGCGAACAATTAATCCCGTGGCACCGGCCGTGGTCGCTCGGCAACCCCAGGCAACGATCTTCCCCCCTCGATCGAGAGCAACCACCAAGTGCGTTCCGCTCATCGACTCGACTTGCCGATCTCGCCGATTCCACTTCATCTTGCCATCCCTTGCATCCTTCGTTCGTTTCGGAATCGACGAGATTCGTATCCGCGATCCGTGTATTACCAGAGCTTGTCACGTTGCGTAGCGGCTCCCTCGATAAATTTCTCGAAAACGATGGAGCAGAGGAAAGACGGGTCGCGATGTCGTCCAATTTCTCCGCAGTATACTCACAACGCTCGGACGATTAACCTCTTGCGCTGGGATGACATGCACGTCGAGAAATTTTTTTGGTTCCAAAATTGTAATATTTTCTCAGTTTTAAGTATACTTGAGTAAATATAAAATAGGCAAAACAAATAATAAATTTATTACTTCTCGATTATTTCTACCGACGAGTTCAAAAAAAAAGACGAATTATTCTATAACGGTTTGGTCCGTGAACCGTAATATTTACCAATCTTCTTAGTTAATAAAAGAAATCAAATGCATGTTTTCTGTTTTTTATCGCTTCATATTCATTTTGAAATATCCCCTAACTTTTGTGAGCAGTGTAGTTCTGTAAAACTGTAAAAAATATAATTCTCAACCTCTTGCGCTGGAATGACGTGCCACGCACGTCGAGAATTGTTTGCCCCAAAGTTGCAATATTTTCTCAGTTGTGTATTTAAGTATATTTAAGTATAACCCAGACAAAACAAATAATAAATTTGTTATTTCTCAATAATTTCTATCCAGGCGATATCATACCGACGAGTTCAAAGGAAAAATAAAGTGACGAATTGTTGTATACGGTTTGGTCGCTCGTTATGGTCCGCAATCAGCTGCCAGCGCAAAGTGGTTAATTCAATCGCAGCGATTTCTATCGGTCCTCTCATCCACGCGTGCCAAGATCGATTCGCTGCGATTTCCTCCGCGTCGTTGATGGAAAATTGGTGGTCCTCGAATCGCGTGAATTTCCGTCCAGGATAACGAAGAACCTTCGAAAGAACCCGCCCGGTAATTCCACTGGTAAATCCATAATGGCCGGCTCGATCTCGCGATGGAAGGATGCTGGTGGCCATCGCGGTACTCGAGACGAGCAAGCACAACCATCGTTCGATCTATCCACGATCTATCCGCGAGTAACCATCGGGTACGCGCGGCTCTCGTGCGGATTTCTTTCGTTCTCGAAGAGGAGGGGGAGGGTTTCGCTGTCGAAAATTTCACCGTGCGCGATGCACGCGCGCACACGGAGCATAAAGTGAAGAGAGAAAGGAGAGGAAGAAGGAGAGAGACACATCGGATCAGGGGAAGGAATTTGCTCGGGGCATGGATGCCTATTAGGTGGGTACATCGTTTATAACAGGCACGCAGTTCGTCCGTGGGAGCGCACGCGATATCCTCTGCCGGCTTTGGCCTGCGTCATTATTGTTATTAATAATAAGACGTAACCACCGATAATTGCTCAACTCTGACTGCGCCTCCGTTTTCCATTATCCTTGCCAACTCAGCCTTGCGTTTCGACAACCCAGCCAGCGATACGAGCAGATGCGCGAGCGGTCTCTGCTCTTCTCGCTTACACGCTGTTTCCAATCGCGCTGTGCTCATCTCTGCGAGAGGAAGCGGCCTCAGAGCCAAGTTATCACCGCCAATCGAGAAACGAATCTTGGCGTTGATAATTCTTTCATTATCAAATATTGACCGGATATTGACGTGTTTTGGAGTATTACAAATATAATATACAATACACTTTAACCATCGAGACGAGTTTCTTCAATTTTTTTCTACTCGATAGTGCAACGCAGTGAAATATTTGTACAATAAGAAATTATCGTAAAATCTTTCTCAATTCTGTTGCAATTCGGAAAAGTCCAGCTTACATACATATAACTGTCGATCTCTTAAAAATTTAAGTTCAAGAATTTAAAAAATTTAAGTCTTGAAAGATTGAAGTTTTTCGAAAGAAGAGACATTCTAGATCCTTGTCAAAATATCACTGGACAAACTCGGAAAAGATTCTATTTCAAAACGGATTAACAGACTCGAGAAATGATTCGATCAATGTGCACACATTTACACAGATATGGGGCGGAGCAGATTATCGTAGCGAAAGGATGAAAGACTTTCGCGATGCAAAAACGTGAGCGTGGTTAATCGACGCCGATTCCGATCGTTCGACGTTACAGTTCGTCAGGCTAGCGTTCGCGGATTTTCGATGAAAGCGATAACACGCAGGTACTAAGTTTTGTAGTATACAGGGAGTTTCGTAACTTGTGGGACCCACTTCGGGAGCTGATTGTACGCCTAAAAATAATGGAAAAAAGTCATAAATATACATCCTATCTATCTTCGTTTATGAGATATAATGAATTTTATAAACAGAGGAAACTCTCTGTCCGGCTTCTCTTTCCATAGACCGCAATAGTTCGTAAACAAGAATTCGCACTGTTTACAAATAATACTTGATATCTCTCGTTTTTTGTACTTGGTTTCTGCAAATGTGTGAACGTGAAGAGAGTTTTCTATCTACCATACTTTTCACTGATGAAGCTAGTTTTACCAAGGATGATATATTCAATTTTCATAATAATCATAATTGGGATGAAGGAAACCCACAGGTTATTGTGCATTCAAGACATCAACACCAGTTTAGTTTAAACGTATGGGCAGGAATAATTGATAAATTTTTAATTTTACTACTTTCTTCTTGATGGGAAACTAACAGGCACAAAGTACGTTGATTTTTTGAGCACGCGTTTACACGAAATATCAGAGGAAGTTCCAGTCGATATTAGACTTCGTATGCGGTTTATGCATGATGGAGCTCCGCNTACATTTTAACCGAATGTCTAGGTAATTTTTAAATCAACATTTTGCAAATAAATGGATCGGTTGTGGAGGTCTTGTTGCATGGCCTGCTCATTCTCCCGATTTGAATCCGTTAGATTTTCATTTGTGGAGACATTTAAAATTTATTGTATACGCAACATCGATTGAAAATGCTGAAATACTACGAAATAGAATAGAGCAACGCTTCCGACAAATTCGAGAAACACCAGGAATGATAGAGAGAGTAACCAGATGAATGACAAGACGCGTGCAGGCTTGTCTTCGAATGCAAAGTGGTCATTTCGAGCATCTTTTGTAAAAGTAATTAAAACAGAAAATTCATTATATCTCATAAACGAAGACAGATAGAACATATATTTATATGACTTTTTTTCATTATTTTTAGGCGTACAATTAGCTCCCGAAGTGGGTCCCACAAGTTACGACACACTCTGTACATTGTTATTCAAGTAACAGTTGTTTACTATAGTATATTGTCACTGGCAGCATCTTTGTCTGATAGCCAATGTTACACAGCCGAGTGATCCCATGATTTGGACTTTCCTCGAGACGAGGAAGCTTTCTAGCGAGTAGCACGCGCCAGTAAAGTGAAACGAACTTCGACGAGAATCTGTCATCCTCGAAACATCTGGCGATACATGCATCGACCTCTAGGTTTCACGAAACATACGTTGCAACATATTTCAACGCGTGTGTGAGAGATACCTAAAGAGATTGAAAAGAACAAAGCGCAGATTGTCAGACACTGCTAAGAATCGACTCTCTGAATCGACGTTCGTCTTCTCGCGCGAACTGCAGTTGAACTCTTCGACTCGGGGACATGAAATTCGAAATTTTTCCGATTCGACGTGTGTTAGGAAGCACAGGGAAACGCGAATGACTCGAGTTTTCAGTGTTCGTTAATTACACGCCGTCAGAGCGAGTTGGAGAAGACGTTTTGCCGTTTCGCGAGTGAACAGATCGGAGCGGAGGGAAACGCCAGTAGCAGCAGGCCTAAACACCTCTCTCTCTCTCTCTCTCTCTCTCTCTCTATCTCTCTCTCTCTATCTATCTTTCTTTCTCTCTCGGAAACGTTACACGGGCGTCTATTCTCCGTCCGGCTCATATTAGATATCTCTGATTATCGCAGGCTATCGCATACCTGCGATACGTATCGTTTCACGCGCTAAGCTTCTAATGACTGAGCCCAGCGTGGATCCGCCCAGACACGACACCATTGGTATCCGGTGTCCGAGAGAGCCTGTGCTTCAACACCCGGACGAACGAGCACCGATCTTCTACGCCCTCCATCTTGCCAACGTGTCTTCAGCGACCGATCGACCTATCCGTCCTATCCGAACAAACTACTCGCGAATACTTCTTTCTCTCGTACAAACTCTCTCTCTCTCTCTCTCTCTCTCTCTCTCTCTCGTTCTCTGCTCCGTACCGTCGCGTACGAGTAAGTAGGGTAAGTACGAATTCGCACGAGGAATTCAGCTCGTGTGCTCGGGGAACACTTGTAACGACTGTGGCTGACAGTTTACGCCAGAGCGTGGACGTAGTTATTACGCGGAGAATGCCCCGACGTTGTTCGCGTGAGTTTCCGAAATTACCGTCGTGTGTATGTGTGTGTATGTGTGTTGGACGAGGCACCGTGAACGCGACGTGGCCCAACGGCCCAGTCGTCGTCGTCGTCGTTTATACGGCGAGTACACGATTTTATCGCGATATTAGGATTTTAACGCGACTAGAGACAAGAGCGTCCTTGAAGCTCGTTCTAACGTGTTGCAGGTACGCTGCGCCCGCCGGGCTTGATCGGTGGCAGCAAGCCAAAAGTCGCGACGCCGGCCGTCGTCGCCAAGATCGAGCAGTACAAGAGGGAGAATCCTACCATCTTCGCGTGGGAGATCCGCGAGAGGCTCATCTCCGAAGGTAAGCACGTGTTTCCTTTTCTTTTTTTTTTTTTTTCGTTCTCGGCGGTGCAAGAGAAAATGGTTGAGAGAGTTGGTTGGTCCATCAGTTCTAAAGAACCTGAGAACAATCGGTTTCGATCTCTATCCTCAATCCTGCTTTAGCGCCGATGGAAAAATCCTGAACCAAGTGTCGCACTGAAGAGGATTGAGGAGAAAATTATAAAGGTTTCGCTTCAAGTAAAAAACTGCGAGATTGACAAGATAAAGGATTTAATATTGTTAAAGTGATCGAAATTGATAATTTTTGTTATTGATATCTTACAGATGTATATATCTTACAGATGTTACAAAACAGTGTATCTCTAAAGATATAAATTTAAATTTGTCGCAAAATGTATAAGCAAAAGCTCATGTACTCTAAAATTATGTATCGTAAAGTTTCTTTATCTTTTTGTCTTTAATGTCTCTGACGGAAATTCTAGTTTCGCGTTGAGAAATAAATGAGTGCCGCTGTATTTCAAAAGATAATTAAATAAATAATTATTTACAACGATGCATAGTCGACCAACTCGTTAGTCAAATTTCGATTCCATTACAGTTTAATAGTCGGGGTTTGCGTTCAATTTATATCAAATTAATAAGCAGAAATGAGATACGTGCTAAGGAGACGTTGGAGAATTACATAAATCTTATAGTAAGGACGTCGGCACGTAACGCGATTATTAATTTGCAAGTAGAAGGGACTGCAACGATTCCAAACGGTTTATTTTAAGGATTCGTTTCAGTGCCAGAACATATGATTACGACGACGATCATTTGGCTCCTGAGAAATGAAACAACGAAATTGACAAATTTCGTCATCGTGTTCGAAATGATTGCGAATTTAAAACGCGTTAGAGATCTCGTTAATTGTTTTTAGTAACGTACCGCTTCAGCATTTTATTCGTTTATATTTTATTTATCGATTATTTAACTTGCGGATTTTTAAACCGAAGAAATGAAGCCAAAACAGAAAATTGTTTCTTCCGTATAATGTAACAATTAACTCCCCCCCCCCCTTTTCTGGATATCTTTTGTAAAGTATTTTTGCATCTTCAAATTTTCCCCAAATTCGTAAGAATCTAGTTACCCGAAACGTTGCAGCGAACTAACGATGTTGCAAAGATCGTTCGGAGCAATCTACGTAAACTTTATTGAAATTTAAGAACTTTCAGAGTCGATCAGTTTAGCTTCAGGGAGTGACCAATGCACGACAAATGGCGAACGACAAATTCCGTCCGCGTGCAATCGCCGGCAACCGCGATACGTAGTTAGCTAACTTCTTATTCAACGATGCGCGAGCCGCGTCGTTTCGTGCATCGTTGCAAATCGCTCGTAATAATAGTTGTACGTGTCCACCAGCAAACGTGCAATTGCGGCTAGAATCGAGAAACTCTTCTCCACCGGCCTTGTCCACCAGCACGCGCTTCTCGTTCTTCTGAGAACGAGCGCTCGAGCGACGTACAGCTACGACGGTGTCTCACCTTGTACGATATTCTCTTGGCTGTGACTAGCACGAGTCCCGGTTCCTCCTCCGATCGTCTGAATTAACTGAATTTGCGTCTCTCTCTCTCTCTCTCTCGTTTTTGACTTGCTTGTCAAGACTCGGTTAAAGACTTTCTCCTCCGAGTCGTGTCGTGCGTCATCCGTGCGAGAGCAATTTACATGAAAATCAAGAGCATTTCGAAACGCAGAAAGAACCGGACGCGAGTCCGTCCATTATTGATTTGAAAGGAATCGGGTATTTCGGGAAGGAACGGAAGGAACGATACTGGGAAGACTATCGTTCGGATTACGTGCGGCTGGTGTCTATTTTTAAAACGTCCGACTGAAGTCTATCGCGGAAATAGTCAGACCCGCGGCTCTAGTGCACTTCGATTCCAGTCTAATGCCACTTTCTATTGTACTTCAACTTCGTAATAACCGTGCATTTGAATCGGTAGCAGGTAGACGCAAATCGATTGCTTCTTCTGATGCCTCGGACATACGCTTCGGAGAGTTTGCCAATAGCGTTTTCAACTACCAACTTTAACATGTCACGTGTTTCCGGTCTTTTTCCAATGTTTCTCTATCGTTTTGACGCCAATCGGTTACTGTTTGCTTAGGAAGACTATCGAACTACCAACGAAAAATCGTATAAAACACGGAAAATTCAAACTCTGGCAGATATACGTTGTGCTCACATCAAACTTCAGAACATTGTAGTCGGTAAGAAGCAATCGGTATTAATTATTATCACTGTTTATTTACTGATCTCTTTTCACCCAACGAAACGAATTGAAGGTTCCGACGATACACAATCTTCAAAAAGGTACATCTGAGAAGAAGTAGTCCATCGCAGTTGTGTTCTTTCATTTGATTACATAAAAGAACCCAATGATATCAATTGTAGCTGCAAGTGAGTATTCGAGAATTGTATCACCTGGAATCAAACGCGTTCCAAATTATTCTCTCTCTACGTGATTTACGAACTCATTGCAATTTCTCGATTGACAACACGTTTCACGCTGGATTACGATTAATAGTTTCTCTTCTGAAGTACATACGTCTTACAATTCTCATAATCATCAAGGAAACTGTCTAGAACTTGAGACGCATTACAGAACAAAGCAATAAGTTTAATTTTAAAATATTTTAACAAACAATTCTTTAACGATGTTAAAATTAATTTAAAACTGAACATTTCGTTCTAAATATTTTTAGTATTATTGCTTGTGTACTGAATAATAATAAACAGCATCAAATGCTATACAATGCTATACAATAATATTAAATACTAACAAGTAATATTTACTTTGACGTTATTTCAACTTTGTAATAACGTTACTTTGATAACAAATTTTACAGCGTAAAATTTCTTCTGACCGAATTGAGTTGATCTCTAGCAGACAGTCGGATCGAAAAAACGATCGTCACGCCCCACGATAGGATAAACGCGATATACGTGTTATTAGCACGCGGATACACGACTTTGTGACAAATTTTTCCAAAAGAGATTTATTATACAATGAAAATTCCATATGGCTCGAAACGCGGCACGGAACGTGTTGTACCCGCCATCGTCGACAAGTCAACCTCGAAATCAAGTGAAACCTGTCGAAGCGAAGAACGGAAACAGACAGGTTGTTGCAGAAGCGTTGCTGATTTGTTCGCAGGCGTGTGCAGCAACGCGACAGCGCCCTCGGTCAGCAGTATCAACCGAATTCTGCGAAATCGTGCGGCAGAACGGGCAGCGGCGGAATTCGCGAGGGCGGCCGGCTACGGTTTGTACGCGGCGGGTCCACATCCGTATTTCAACAGCGCCCATCAGCACCCGACGACCAGCCACCACTTGCCCGCTGGCTGGCCAGCGCCAGGGGCAGCCGGCCACCCTTGGATGCTGCCGCCATTGGCTACCGGGATCACCGGCGCGGCTTCCGCTCTGCTACTTCCGCCGTCGTTGAGCCCGGGTGCAGCTGCGGCGGCGGCCGCTGCCGCCTCTGCGTCCGCCGCTGGAACCGCCGACCACGCTCTACACGCCGACGCCATCACGCGCGGATACTTGCAAGGTGACCATCTTCTTTAAACTTGTGTGTGCGTGCGTGCGTGCGTGCGTGCGTGCGTCACTAATTGAACGGGGTAAAAAAAATTTCGAACGAAACGAAAGGTTAGAAAGAAAAGCTTAGGAGAAATAGTTCGACCGCGACTGGCAGTGGCGAAGATAAGGAAGACGAGGCGAGACTAGGGGACGCTAGTAGAGGAAGGTGCTCGTTTTTTTCTGTGCAGACGGTGACGGGGACGAGGGGAGCCTGGACGGATCCGAGCAGCCGAAATTCCGACGAAATCGCACCACCTTCAGCCCGGAACAGCTCGAGGAGCTCGAGAAAGAATTCGAGCGATCCCACTATCCTTGCGTGTCTACGCGCGAACGGCTAGCCTCCAAGACCTCTCTCTCGGAAGCGCGTGTACAGGTGAGGATCAGTTCCATCCAAGATATCTTTTGTCGGGGGGGCTACCAGCGCGTTCGCATCGCAACGGCTTGTTCCCGATCTCTGACTTTTCCTCCCTCTTTCTCTCTCTTCTCATCTTTTTTTTTTTCTTCTTTTTCTTTTTGGTCTTTCTTCTCTATCTCTCTCTCTCTCTTTCTCTCTCTCTCTCTCTCTCTGCGAAGCGTTGACGCGCGGAAACCCCCCCGACCTTCTTCCGAAGCTTAGAAATTTGATCACGAGCCATCTAACGACCTAACTCGTGACTCTTAGGTTTGGTTTTCCAACAGACGGGCAAAGTGGCGTCGTCATCAACGAATGAACCTGTTAAAGCGTTCGCCACCGCCACCGCCGCCGCCGCCGCCGCCTCCGCCGCCTCCGCCACCAGCGTCGCTGCCGCAGCAGCAGCAGCAGCCACCGCCGCAACCGCATTCCGCATCCGGTATGGAAGTAAGTCGTGCGTCAAGCTGCTCAATCGCCGGAATGGGAGGAGAAAGTAGCGCGTTCCGGGCGGTCGTGACCAATTCGTCGTCGAGAGACGTCGCGGAACGGAACGAGAGGGTCGACAGGCTCGAGCCGATCGCCAAACAGCCGGAAAGAAAGCCGAGCGCCTTCAGGATGATCAGTCAACTCGTCGGCGAGGATTCGCCAACTTCGATGCTCAAGTCCTCGAGCCCGACGTACGAGCAACACCAGAGGCACGACGGCAACGTTAGAACCGTCGTTGGCTCGTCCGAGACGACCAACAAGAAGGAATACGAGCGGGTCGAGGACGAGGAAGAGGACGAGGAGATCGACGTGCAAGACTCGGACCAGGACGTTCCTTCCTCGCCGACCGTTGCGTGGCGGGATCACTGGACGGAACAGCAGCCCTTGGAACTGACGAAACACGATCGTTGAAGTCGCTCGAACGCTCGATCGTGCTCGCGACCCGAGTGTGACAGAGTTGGCGGCCAGAAAGTTTCGCGGAGAAAGGTTCAAACTCGTTGTGACGCGTCTCGGAGTGTGTCCGATAAAATCGTTCGCGAGTGACGCGAGAAACGTTTCTTCTAACGCGCGCGTGATCGAGATCGTTAAGAGTAAGACTTTACCGACCCACCCGACCTTGCCAGAGTTTCGTCGAGGAACGACGACAAAGACTGGGACTCGAAGGCGCGCATTTCTGGATCGTCGATCCCAGCTACTTACTACGACCACGATCCAGATTCGTTACGATTAAGATTACGATAATTGCTGCGAGGACGGTTGTGTAAACGTAAAGACGCAATTACGCCGGCCGCGGTGTCGTCGTGGCGTTATAAAACTACCGACGATTTAGATAGATAATTAATTGCTTACTCCCGATACCGGATCCGCCCGTACCGGACTGTCGAGCAGCTGCGCTATAATTGCAGCGCTGCGTTATAACGTACGCTTCCTTCTGTCAACGAGGAGGACGAGAAGAAGATCCAGATTTCCGAGACGACGGCGAAACCCTATCCGGAACTAGTCCTAGCGAAATCATTATACCGCAGATAATGCATTACCTAGGTACTACGTAGATAGAATAGACGAACAGATGGTAATCCCCTGTAACGAACTCTGTTAAAAAAAAAAAAAAAAAAAAAAAAAAACAACGACTTTTATTTAAATGAATTCGTTTGTAAATATCCACGCAAGCTTTTCTCACTGTGCGAGAACAATCCCTTTATTGTCTTTATTCCCCCATTCACGATCGTGACGCACCTCGTCGCGTGGATTCCTCGAGACTCATTCCACGGAGTCCGGAAAAGTCAATTTTCGATGATTTTTAGCCGACGAGAAAGTGTCGGCTAAAAATCCGGGGAGGGATGAAGCAGGTACGAGGGGCAAAAACGACAGAAAGGAAGGAAGGAAGGCTCATCGACGATTAACTCGAATCTACGGTTTCGTCGGGTTCGCAAATAAGGAATCTGCGTGTGAAACTGGTTTCTCCGGGCGACACTCTTCGGCCTCCGTCGAACGTTCTCCACGGTGGAAGAGAGCGGTGCTCGTTGCCTCGGAGAGCACGAAAACACCGGATCCGCCAACATTTCGGATATCGTGGCCCCCGTCAGCTGCTAACGCGACTACCAAATTTATTAACCAGGCCCGTGCGCGCACACGGTAGAGCCGTACAGCCAACGATCCGAGGAACAGCGAACAGAGCTGAAATATCTAATATAATCGGGCATAGCCGTCGCTCGACGAAAAACAGGGAGACAGGGCTCGGTCTCTCGGATAATTGAAACAAAACTCTCTTTTTCTCTCTCTCTCTCTCTCTCTCACGCGCGCGCCGAATATTCCCGCGATCATTCCGCCACAGGTCCTTACTATCGTCCCGTATCCTCCCGTATCTTTCGAGACGAAAAAAATGTCGCGTCGCTGGAAGTCGTCGAAATTACGATCGTATTCACACCAGAGACAAGTGAAATCGATGTGTGTCGAGCAATGGGGAAGCGGGGAGGAGAGAAGAAAAATCAGAGGCGGGCGGCGTGCAAAAGTGTGCGAGGGTAAGATAGGGTGTACAGGATCGACGTTATTGTAATCCGAACAAAGTTGCCAGAGGCATTAACACCCAGGTGGTGGTGGGTAGGAAGGAAAGAAGGATCGTTCCCGACGTAAAAGAAAGAACGAGGGACGAGCGCGAGCGAGCGAGCGAGCACACGCGGGAAACGGAGGAAGGAAGAAAGGAGGCGGGAGGGAGAGGAGCAGAAGAAAAGAGAGGAGGAGGGATACATTCAGGCAGTCAGCCAGGAGAAACGAGAACGTAACAATTACTATCTGAGACCGATCGGTGCGGCAAGATTAACGATCTTATACTCGCAGCGGCCACGTCGGAGCCCGTCTGAGCCGCGATTGCTCATGAGAGAGGGAACGAGTGGCCAACGTTAAAGTCACCTCCACCTTTGCTCAATGAGATATTGCCTGCCGCGGACAGCGTAGCGCACCTTTTCGTGCGCGGTAAATCGCGCGCGCTTCCTCTCCTTTTTTCTCTCTTTCGTTTCGCCTTCCACGCTACGCGCTACGCCAGCCAACCCTTCCTCCTCGCGACGAAGCGTCACACCCGCCCTTGGTACGTACCACGGAGCAGAGAAATTCTCTCGTCCCTGATGTTTGCTGTTCCGAAGCTTCTCCAGCTTCGTTCGTGGTTTAAGGACGAGTCGACACGACCGGACGTTGCCACCCTACCTCGGATTCCTCTCGGGCTGACATTGGGGAAGGGGGAGGGCGGGGGGGGGGGGAAGAGGGTGCAGATAACGCAGGAAACTCGAAGAAAATCGTCAAAGCGATTCCGTCGTTTCGGTGAGAGGTGGAAACGAATTGCGTCCACGCAAGAGAGACTGTGAAACTGTTGCAGGGCGAAAGGGGTCGGGGGAAGAGAGGGTCGGAGGGGGAGAAGGGTGGCACGGCCGGGCAATAATACGCGAGAAATCGTGAATTAGTGAGCGTCTTTTTGAGCGAGCGGACAGAGGAAAGGAGTGCCCGATGATTTCTCGCCCAATTAGAGTCGACCGGGCTATAAACTTCTTCGCGGATAAGATAGGACCCTCGGTTTTCTGTGTTCCGTCCGAGGGTGCAGCGGAGCGGGAGGGGGAGGGGGAGGGGGAGGGGAGAGCAAGAGACAGGGACCCGTAATGTCTCGCTTCAGCCCGGAAGCCTTCCAGGTCTCATATAGACCGGGAATCCGTGCTCTCGAGCGAGAAGAGGAACGACAAGCGGACGAGAGAGCGAGAGAGAGAGAGAGAGAGAGAGAGAGAGAAAGAGAGAGCAGGGTATCAGGGGGAAGAAGACCGAGGGAGAAGAGCGTACCTGAGCATTGGGACGGAGCTAATTGGCTCGTCCACTGACCATTGAAACCGCCGTCCCGGTATCGTCTTCGATCCACCGAGCACATATACGTGCCAACGTTTCAGGACGATCAATTAAACGGAAATGGCCGGGAGATATCCCACGAGAAACAGACGTTCTCGCACGTCTCGGCACCCGCCGAATTCGTCCCGAGACACCGGGCCACTGCCCGCCGATCTTCCCAAACCTAGGAGCACGTTGTTCCCCCCCCCCCTCCCCGTCTTGTTTCTTCGTTCGTTCAACTTTCTTCGAGAGAAGTTCCTCGAATCGAGTCAAGTCTTCTTCTTCTTCTTCTTCTTCTTCTTCTTCGTCTTCGTCTCGACACATCGAGTCGAACGGCGGAACTGTAACGGAAGTCGTCGGCGCCGCGCGTGGAGAGCCGCGGCCGAGAAAATATTCGATCGATCGGCTGGACGGTTCGGTTCGATTCAACGGTGTAATCAGCGCAATTACCTGCTTTACTCGTAAAGAGAGCAAATTCCCCCCCGGTAAATTCCTCGTGGCATTAGCGACGACCGTGAGATTTTTGCCTCCGCGTAATCAGTCCGCGTCCTCGAGGAAATATGCTCTCGCAGGACACACGGAGCAGCACACGTTCCACCAAAGAGGGAACTTCTCCCTCTTTTTCTCTCTTTCTCGCCAGCCTCGCGTGCAACCTGCGTGTACGTGGCTCGATCGCGCAGACCTCTTTGCCGGTGTTTGCGTGTACACGTAGGACCCGGGCGAGCGAAGTAATGGCGCAGAAGCCAACTCCTACTACTCTTGCGGACTGAAATGAGTCGACTAGGATGGTGTCGACGTGATGTACAGCGACAGGGTTGATAGCGTTACAAGAGCTACTAACCCTTCTCCCTTGTCCCTCTCTCCCTCTCCCGCCTCCTTGCCCTACCCTTTGCCTGTCGCCCTTTACTTCGCCACCTTCCCCTTCGTCGCAACCACCTCAACCACTGCTGCCACCTCCTTCTCCTCTTTCTCCTCCTCCTCCTCCTCCTCCTCTTCCTCCTCCACCTTTTTCCTCGCCACTTTCGCTTCTTTCTGCTTGTCCGCCTCGACGTGTTCGGACGCATCAGCGTGTAAAGCACGCTTTCGTAGTCGGACCGGAGTCTCTCTCTCTCTCTCTCTCTCTCTCTCTCTCTCCTGATCTTTCCTCCGTCCACGTCACGTCTCGTTCTCTTCCTTTCCTTTCTTTTCCCGGTTGGTCTCACAACTATCTCGCTCGATACTCCGATTCGTCGTATTCTCCTCTACCGTTTCTGTGCCTCGACGTCTCCCTATCTCTCCGTCTTCGCTACCCTCTCTCTCTGTTTCTCACTCTCGCTTTCTCTCTCTCTCTCTCTCTTTCTCTCTCTCTCTCTCTCTCGCATCTCGCGTGGCCGTGTCTCGCGTCGTCGTTTACGTAGGTACACGGAGATTTGTATGGGGGCAGAGAGTCGCGCGCAGAAAGAGAGCGAGACTATCGAGGACCACTGACTTATTATCGGGAACCGCCATTAGCATGTTTATAGAAGCGAGCGGTCGACACGCATGAGGCTGTGTCGTGCCGTGCCGCTGCCCCGCAGCCGATTCTTTTGTATTTGTGATCAATTAGACGCCGCGCCGTCCCTCGTGTGGAACACTTTCTGGGGGTACGCCTAGCCCTGGAATGTCTCACGATAGTTCGTTTCCTCTCGCTTTATCAATCTCTTTCTCTCTCTCTCTCTCTCTCTCTCTTTTTTTACACCCAGCCTCGTACGATCGCCAGACGGATCGCTATCGAAACGATATCAACGGGGCTGGCCCGTGCTATGGATCCAAATGATCGCGCTATCGACTGGTCAGCCGCTATTCGATCGGGGACGGCCTATTTCTGCGCCGAAGCTCGCGCACAATGCGACCGGTTGACTTTCGATCGACACGCGCAACGTTCCTAACCGCTTCTGCGGTTCTCCCGTTCGAGCCCCAGCGTGCGAAACACAATTCGTGAAAAAGTTTCGCCAACTCAAGAACGCGAATGACTAATGAGAAAAGAATGGTGATTTATTTATTTACTTACTTTCTTTTTTTTTCAATCATTTACCTACATCCTTGGATAATACCGCGAAAGTTGGCAGAATTGTGACTTAATGGAAAAGGATGGTGATTTACTTATTTATTTATTTATCTTTTAATCAAGTACGACGGTCGGTGATAATAATCGACGATAATATATATCGTCGAGCGTCTGTCGACACCGCGGACAGCTTACGAAACCGATCGAACCGATAGGCGGCGAAACAGGAGTATATCGAGGGATATACACGCGAGAGTCGCGATGTGTGCCGCGTTTCACACGTTTTCCAGACATTTCACGAGCTAGATCGCAAAGACGATAGTGTCGAATGCCTAATGACCGCGACACCTCCGGCGAAATCGAGGCAAATCTCGAGAGGATCACGCGTTTACGCTGTCGGTACCGTTACGACGCGCAGAAATCGCCAATTCCGTCGCGTCCTATTAACAGCGACGATTTCTCGGCGGAGCAAGACGTCGCGTGACGCCGAGGGAAATTTATTATATCAACGTGTCAATATTTTTAATCGGCACGTGGATACTATACACCACGCGTGTGTATAGCGCTCGCCGCACAAGTCCGGAAGGGAATCGACCCCCCCCCCCCTCTCGAGTTCCTAGAACGCCTCGATCGTTTTTCGAACGAGTCATTTGCATCGTGACGGAACGATTTTCGCGATGAGCCGTGACTTTAGAGGCATCCAACGCTGCTCGTAACAAAAGAGGAAAAACGCATTGTGCCGGAGTTAATTGCCGCGTCTCTTTTCA